ATATATATATAAATAATATGTATAATATACATATACATAGACTTGTATATAATGTCCATTTGAATTGTAATCCTTCACAGACTGAATGCACACGGTGAAGGCATACATACTAAATCCGGATTGACAAAATGCTTTTGCTTTTAACTCACTTGTTGGCCCCATTTTAGGGCTCTACTAGAAAAAACCCAAGAAGTTATCGAAGACAGAGCCCTGGCACAATGGTTAGAAAACAGAATAAAGGGAGAAAACATAAAGTATGTTATTTTGAAGAATGAATTTTGAGCAACAAGAAGAAAAACAACTACAGGCCAGGAAAAAATTAAAATGTTCCTTGCCTCATCTTGATTTTGAAATTCAACATTTTGAGTATATTTAGGTCAAGTGCCGAACAGAATGCATTGTAGTGGAACAACCAAATTTCAGTCAACGACTTCGGTTCTGGCAACGCTTTTGAATGTTGTATGGGTTAATTTTCGGCGAGTATACTTGTGTTATTGAAGATGGATGTTAGATTCAGAGGTCCCGCTCAACTTTAAATTCCCTCTTCTTTGAGGGTTGAAAGAGTTTTAAAAACGTCCCCATCAACACAATTTAGATCATTTGGGAGGCGGACTTTGACCCTGCCTGTCAAGGTCAACCCAGATGACAATGACACAACGTCCTAACAGAAACACCCGGAACCTAGATGACAATTCTTTCCATGGAGGAATCGAACTCAGGTCTTTTGTTGAGGAGAGCGAAGCGCCCAATTGCTACCTACAGACGCCAGTGAAAGGTGTGTTTAAACTGGTAAATCATCATTGCCAAGTTCAACGCAGTATTTTATCATAGTTGGGGGACTGTCCTATAGTGTGGGTTTGGGTAAATAAAAGCACATCGACACAATTAGAGGTTGTTTAATGCAGGAAATAAAACCCAACCCTAAAAAAAACCCACCCCAAAAACAAAAAAACAGCCAGAAAAAACGGATGGAAAGAAAAAAAAAAAACGTTGGACATAATAATGATTGACATCCCGCAACCACCGGACTCTTCCACAGTGTGAATCTTCAGAACTGGCGTTATGTGACATCAATCCTCTGTTTTATGTTCGTTTACTTTGCTTTCGATTACACAACTGAATTCACGAACTAACAGTAATATTTCGTTT